CTCAATTACTTCATGCTTCATTTAAATTCACTTTCTTGCACATTTCCTGCTTGGCGAGAAACTTTGTTGTCTATTCCTTTTCCTAGCTATCTCTTTTCTGTATCTCTAATTGTCTCTTCTACAAGTTAAATTTCTTTTTTTAATTCATTAATTTTATTAGTACATGTTAGGTATACAGTATGATGACATTCATCATTGGGAATTTGTACCTTTACATGATATATCTTGGTTCTTATTTTTTCCCCATTCCCCTGCCCTCCTTTCAACCGCTCCACCCCTCCCTATTTACGAAGACTTTGTTTTTATTTTCTTCCTTTCCACATATTTATTCCTTTCCCTTCTTTCCTTTCCCCTACCACAAATGCTGGTAGGGTTGTGGGGAGAAAGGAACCCTTCTCCACTGTTGGTGGGAGTGTAGACTGCTGCATCCACTGTAGAAATCAGTATGGAGATTTCAAAGAACTAGAATTAGAGGTCCCATTTGACCCAGCTATTCCCTTGTTGGGTATCTTCCCAAAAGAATTAAAAGAATCATACAGCAGCAATATATGTGCACTCATGTTTATAGCAGCACAGTTTGTAACAGCTAAAACCTGGAAACAGCCCAATTGCCCATCAACTGATGACTGGATAAAGAAGATGTGGGGTTTTTTTTAAAAAAATAAAATAGAGTACTACTCAGCCATAAAGAATGAGAAACTAGAGACATTTATATCTAAATGGATGCACACTGAGGCCATACTCTTAAATGAAATAAATAGGACACACATGTGTAAATACCAAATATTTTCTCTGGTGTGAGAAACTGAAAGTGTAAATAAGGATCAAAATGTGTAATAGATAAGTTAAATTTCTACTTCACGATCACTAGATTGCCTAGTTTGCTTCTTCAGACCAGGTTATCAATTATTGGGAAGTAGCTCTTCCTTGAATCTATTAAGGCTATGCTTGCGTATTTATTTGGTTTGAGCCTTCATTAGTCTGCAAGTGCCACCCAGAAATGGTGGAGATTATTTTCTTTTTTTCTACCATCTCTTTTGTCTACCATTTTGCCCCTGAACAAAACAAGATATCTCACACTCAATAAGATTTATTGAATCATCAAAATGCAGTACTATCATTTATTAATCAGAAATGGATATTTGGAATATGCATTGCACCAAATTTGAAACAGTCCTGGTAAAAGAGCTATTTGTACTGATTCAAATTCTGGACTTCAATTAAACAAACCATTGTTTCATTTTTTTAAATAACTAATAAGAGAAAAGTGCATGGCTCATGGTATTGATGTTAGTAATTGGTTCAATGATTAAAAAGAGGAGATGGTAATCAAAGAAATTAGACCAATTGCTCTTGAATTGTTCAAATATTTCTATTTTAGATACTGAAAAATATTTGAAAAGTAACTAGCTAGCTTGAGAGAAAAAGAACAATGCACTGACAATATGCTGAGAAATGGAACCTTTGCACATGGCTAATGGGAACATAAAATGGGGAGCTACTGCAGGATACAGTGTGATGTTGTCTCAACCACTAAACAGAGTTACCAAGAGATTCATCCATCCCACTACCAAATGTAAACTCAAAATCATCTAAAGCTGTGACTAAACTACGTACTTATACACTCATCTCGTATTATCATTATTCCCAGTAGCCAAAAAGTGAAAACATCCTAAATATCTATCCATAAGTAAATAAACAAAATGTGATGTATATGTACAGCAGAATAGTAATCATCCTTGAAAAGGAATTAAATTCTGATACCTGCTATAATACAAATAAAATTCAAAGACATTATGCTAAATGAAATATGCTATGATTGTGCCAGTTGATGATATTCTAATTCCACCATCCATTCAATGAATTACTCTACTTTAAGAACTATGACTTCTTCAATTTATTTCATTGTGTATTTATTACTGAGTATGCATGCAGATTTCTATTTTATTAAAGTGGATGTAATGAATATCAAAATTTTCCCCTGACTTGGCCAGTGGGAACCCTTTAATGCTGGTTTCCTTGTCTTTATGGCATGTTTCCACACTGTTGACTTTTTTTTTTTCTAAAAAAATTGGTTTGCGAACAGAAGCATTTGGCAAAACTTTGCTTCAGCTCTCGCACTCCACATTGGGTGATGGACATGACTGAGGCCAATTTCCCCAGATTTGTGGAATGAATGAAGTTTGTAAACTGAGGTACTAGTGTACTTTGTTCTGACCAAGCCCTACAACTACCTACCTATTTTTCCAGGAAGCTCTGGTTCCTTTTAGTGGAGACTGGTATTTAGAAACCAAGATCCAGAGCTAGGTGGGCTTACTGCTGCAAGAGTAACATTGCCTGTGCCATCTTAGAAGAAAACCAGGATGTACTGGTAGACATACACATTTTCATATCTATGACTATTCTATTGTGTATTTACCTATATAAAAGACTGGGAGTTTGCACCAGTAATTCCAATCCTAACTCATTACCACAGCTGTTGTTCTCTCATGCCCCTTTCTTAATTTCTCTCACAGTGAGAAAACCAGGTCCTGTTGTCTGCTGTATAATTGCAGCACAACATCTCTGGACCTTGCCGGGCCTTCTTAGAACTTCCTTGAGCCCTGGGCCATGCTGGACTGTGATCCTTCTCATTACTTTCCTTGCTCCAATCCCCGCCCTTTACTATACATCTTCCTCTTTCAGGCTCTAGCACCTGCTAGGTCAGGTCTCCTTTCTCACTCTGGTGTATCAAACAGCTTCCCAGGTAAATTATTTATGTAGTAAGGAAGTAATTGGAGGAGAGAATGAGGCAGACAAAAATAGGGAGATAGAGGGAGGAAAGGAAACAGAAAAAAGAAACAAAGAAAAAAATCAAGTCAGTAAGTTTTAAAATGGGACAGCCAGAACAGGATTCCAGCAGTGTTTGACTCCAAAATATAAGAATTTTCTTCATGTAGTGTCATATCCTAATGCAGCTTCTGATTGTGTATGTGTTCCTTATCTTCATTTTCAACAGATTTGTGCAAAAATTAATGGGTTCATATTTATTTGCTAGTTTTTTTCTCTGTAACTGTTTCCACTTTGCAAAATGACACAAAGAAGAAACAAAACCTCTGATTTTTGATGATTTTCCCATTCTAGAGAGATTCAACCTGCTAAGTGATAACAATAGAATTTCTCACTGTAGCACTTAATGAGTTTACAAATGTATAATTATTGACTTAAGGCATCAAAAAATGAAGATTTATTAAATGCACACACATCTAAGGTTACTTGTAGATGTTTTCAACTTGACATTTCCTGCAGAACGGATATATTGTGCAGACAGTCTGGACTATGTATGAGCAGCTAAATATTGTATTCATGGCAATTTCTATGTCTAATCACAATAGGTGGTCAATCAACCCTGAGGGATTTTTTTATATTTCATTTCTTTTTTATTAAACTAAAAACATGTCTATAAGCTTAACAGTTTGGACTGAATGGAGAGACATATTTTAGATTCATAAATGTTTAGTGAAATAATACTTCCCTATCTTATGTCCATCAGAATGGGTCTTGCTGTCCAGGGTCTATGTCTTATGATAGCATTATTGATTAACAAGTTTATAAAAGATGATAGTAGAGATTCTTTCTTTATTTCACCAATAACTAATTTAAAAGTATCTCGCTGTTTTCTAAGAAATTATGAGACAAATATTGTTTACTAACACATTGTGAGTCTACTTTAGCTCCATCCAAAGTGTGTCTCCAACTACAAATTCTAGCGTACCCATTGCTTTGAGCTTAGTCAGACTGTCCGGAAAATTCCATCCCAAAGCTAGCAGGTAATGAAAGAAGTCTTTGCCTTCTGTGTTATTGAAGAGATAAGACCTAATTTAGTATGAAAGTCATGAAGTGATTGGACAGGTGTTTGTATAATTTTTTTGTAGTTGTTCTAGAAATTGAACACAAGCTTTCACATTGAGCTACATCTGCAGTGTCCTTTTCCTAATTAATTTTTTTAAAAAATTGAGACAGGTTCTAGCAAAGTTGCTAAGTTGTCTTGACTTAGTTTGAACTTGCTATTCTCCTGCCTCAGATTCCCAAAGTACTGGATTGTACTCATTCACCACCATGCACTGCTTGCATAAGTACCCTTATAGATTTGCCATGAGACAAGCAGTGATTTAAACCATTAGGATGTGCAAATGAAGTCACAAATACTCTTCTACAGCTAACGTCCCACTTATTTTTTCCTCTACATCTCTCTGCCTTTGATGCAGCAGCTGTTTCAGTGGGCTTTGCTTTGTGACAATTGTCACTGTGAATCTCACCAGAGCAGAAGATGAAGGAGGTCTCAAGCTCAGTTCCACTTGTGCATCCTTCTGCAACTAGAAACTCTCAAGTACACTCTTACAGGCACACAAAACGGTCATGTACAGAACTCACTATCCTTGAAAGAGTTGGACATGAAAAGTGTAGGAGAGGATCTTTCTACTGATGGCTTTGTTTTTGAAATTTCCTGAAGTTAAAAAAAAAGACAATTGGAAAGGAAGTCAATTTATGTAAAGTACCGTAAGACATTCACTTTGGTTTTCAAATGATTATACTTCTATCTATATTCCAAGCACTCTAAGTTCAAAATAAAATAAGATCAGATTAACCCACCTCTTGAATCTGCTCACATATACTCTGTGGCATCAAGGGCTCTCTACATCTAGATTCACCTAGCTTATGTTCTTGGCTTTGTTGTTGCTATTTTTAGATGCTACATTAAACAGCTAAGAATACATTACCTACATTTTCAACTCACCTGGATGCCTTTGACAGAAAATTGACATGAAGACAGTTGAAAATACTTCACATTTGGCAATGATTTTTGTAGCAACTTAAAATGAAAAAAGCCTGACTTTTCTATAATACATTTTATTTCTTTTTAAAGTCTTACTACCCTGAAGCAACATTTAGACCCTTGATGATTCATCCTCAGGTTACCATTTTTGCTCTCTGTTGTAAGCAAGAAAATCATAATCACACAATGTCCAAATGTTTTTATTTCTTTTATTTGAATCCTTAATAGTCACATAATGCCCAAATTTGTTTCTTTCTCTTATTTGAATCTTTAAATGAACAGAGTGAAAAAAAGAGTACTTGTAGATGTCTTCTCTTCGAGTAAAAGAGGTAAATTTGTGCAGAGTTGTTTGGAAATGTGGACGCTGATTTCACAATTCAAGTGTCACTGCAGAGTATGAGTATTTAGTAGCTGGTCTCCTCATGGTCAGCAGGGTGGGCAGCCCTCTCTTCTGAAGGCATGGAGCCAACAATGAGGCAGGTTCCTAGGGGATGTAGTTGGTAACAGCATTGTTCAGCCACAGGCCTGTGAGACCCACATTACAACAGAAGCATTGCAGTCCATGGTAGAGCTTTCCCTTCAAGGTTTGCCTGCAAATAAAATTGTTCCAATTATGCTCTAATCAGCACTTTATGTTCTGCTTTTTTCTTAGCTTGTGAAACATGAAAATGTGTACACTTTCACATGTACATGCTGCCAATACACTGCTCATAAAATGATAAATGGGTAAATTTTTACATGGCTAATAAAATGATAAATAGGTTAAATATTTCCAGTATAACATACAGTGGCTTCTGAGATTGAGGTTACTTTGTAGAGTGTTCTTATTTTTCTTCTTTGTCATGTTTTTATCTTTAAAATATTTTATTGCTTTATTAGTATATGTTTGCAGCACATAATGATTATGTTCCTCATGGGGAGTTAGCAGATATATATGTATATGTATATATAAATTCTTATATGCATATATACATACATATATGCTTATATACATATATATATATGTATATCTCACATCTTTTTCCATTCACTTTCCTTCCTCCCCCCTCTCCTCCCTCTATCTCTTGGTCTCCTTCACTTTTCCAAAAGACATATCTCCCTGTTTCATATTATTCATCTTTTATTTGGCTTTTTATATTTTGAGATCCTCCTGTAAGAAAACCCATGTGATATCTAAGTTTATGAGTCAGATCATTTCACTTAATGTCATGATCTCAAAGTATACCCATGTACCTAAGAATGCTTCAGGCTTATCCTTCTTTATGACAGAGTGGTACTCCATTATGTGTAAATATCACATTTTCTCTATTCATTCATTTGTTGATGTACATATAGGTTGCTTTCAAAATTTAGCTGTTATGAATTTTTCTGCTACAAACATAGCTATGCATGTATCACTGTAATATGATGTCTTTAACTCTTTTGGGAGCAAGCCTAGAAGGGGAATAGCTGGGGCAAATGGAATTTCTAGTTTTAATTTTTGGAGGAATCTCCATACTGCTTTCTGTAATGAATTCCTATGCCTCATGGAAATCAATTTACCATTCTATATGGTTTTTCGATACCCAGAGTCTTACATATGACTAATCTCAGGAAGAATTTCTTAATTTCTTTCTCCTCAAATGAAGCATAAAAGACTTGAAGCCTTGTGTAAGTCACCAAATTGAACATAGAATTAACATTAGTGACTCCACTGCTTGGTGAAAAAGCACAAAGACATAATTACAACAGGTAGCACTGTGTCCACTAGTCAGTGTTTGAGAAATCTTCCCAAACCACTAAATGAATGTTCCCCAAATGAACAATGCATTTTTTTTAAAAAAAAAAGGAAACAAATAGGAAAATCCCTGTGAAGTACATCTTGACTCCTAAGGCTATACAGATGTACCTAGTGGAAATATGACCACTGGCCAGATTAATAAGAATGATTTTCTTGGATGTCTCTGGTAATATCAGAGGTCTGCACTAGCAATAAGCAGGCCCAGGCTCTCTGAAGGATGGCGGTGATCTTATGCATCAGCAAACAGAAAGCTGTCTGGGCTTTCTAGCAGAAAGAGAAATAGCTCACATGAACGTGTACCAGTGACAGCCAGAATGTCATAGGCATGGCAGGTGGCCTTAGTTTCTCTTAGTCATAATAGACATCGGGGAAGAGTTTCTTTCATATATGTAAGGGCTACGGCACTTGGTATACTGTAATTTGTTTTAAAATGTCCTGGGCCTGTGAGTTGCAGATTATTATTTGGGTGTGTCAAAAATGTATTTCTTTTTTTTAATGAAGTAGATTTTTAGGCAAAAATGGTTTTTCTTTTAGCATAAACTTCACCAGTACATAATGATAAAAAATTTCAGTTATCCAAGAACCTAAAGAAAGTTAAAAATTGCATGTGTTTAACAACATATCTTCATAGTATGTGAAATAAAATAAAATAGAACTGCAAAAATAAATTTCTACATTAAGTTTAAATATGATCGAATGGACATATAATGAACTATAACACACCTATTATATAATGCATAGTATTTTTTCATGCCCATAGAGGATTTTTTTTTCTAAGTTCCTTTATTGGTACATTTTAGGTATACAATTCATTTACATTTATCATTGGGTGTTTGTACCTGTACATGATGTATCTTCGTTCTTATTTTTTCCCCATTACCTGTGGGCCCTTCACCCCCTCCACCCTTCCCTATTTACATAGATTTCATTTCCATTTTTTTTCTTTTCTCATAGTTTTTCCTTTCCCTCCTTTCCTTTCCCCTTCCCCTCCCTTCACCCCTTTGCCTTTGGACCTTTTTTCCTATTTCAAATGATCAGTTATTCATTTTAATTATTTTAACCCTTGTTTACACTATCAGTTTCTCACACTAGAGAAACTATTCAGTATTTACACGTGTGTCTATTTATTTCACTTAAGAGTATGGCCTCTATATGCATCCATTTAGCTATAAATGACTCTAGTTTTTTATTCTTTATGGCTGAGTAGTACTCCATTTTATATAAAAAAGAAACACATCTACTTTATCCAGTTTCTAATTTCTTTATTTCTAGATCTGCACTTAATCTCTAACATGAGGCCTATGCCTGCCTAACGTGAAGTCATAAATGAACTCACCGTGGCTCTTCTGTTTGTCTCTTTCTGAGCATCCCTAGATTCAGTCAGCCTGGCTCTCGTCCTCTTGCCTCTCTCGAACTCTGAGCCAGCTCTCCCTCGAGGTTCTCAAGGCTCAAGCCTGCCAAAATCAGGACGTGTCATCCTAGGTGGTTCTCATTCATTGGAAGTGGGAACCGAGAGGCCTGTGTCTTCTTTGCCTTTGCCTTTTGGCAGGGGCAGGAACTGGAACTATCCAGTTGGTACACATTTGGTTCCCAGGCAACACCCTGGCTTTGCCTCTCAGTTTCCAGCCTCTTTGTAGGAGTTTTAGTTGCATCATAAATATGCTATATTCTTATTGACTTAAAACAACAAAAATATGTCTTTTCCTTATGGATATGAGAGGTCAGCAGGGGCCATCCAGCTACAAGATGCTTGAGAAGTTTGGCTCTACTTCAAGCAGAACAGGACCCAGAAGCTGACTGAAGTCTGCTCTTCTCATTGTAGCTGGGAGAAATCCAGGAGGAAAATAAGAAATATATCACTACCCTTAAAGACTTATTACTGGTCCACCCTCAGGTCCTCCCATATTTCACTCACCAAAGCAATTGCAAGTCTAAACCCAGCTTAGATGGGGTGGTGAAGTGTATGCCACCTCTTGGCAAAGATAGGCAGGAAAAAGTAAAAATGATATGCTGTTCAGATTATGTGTAAGCAAACTCTTTGTTCATTCCACTTTCAAATTCAGATCCAATGTATAAGTGAAAACAAGAATTGGATCACAGATCAAAATATTTATATTTTATTTTTTAGAAATAAAACTGATTGGAGAAATCAGTATGGGTTCCAGACAGAACTGGACCTCCAAATTTCTAATTCTGGTTGTATTTGTGCATTGCATACTGTTAATTAGGGTTCTTCAGAGAGACTGAACCAATAACAGGGATGGATGAATGGATGGACAGAAAGCAGTAGAGTTATGTGAGAGTAGATTTGTTAGGGAGTAGACTCACAGGAGGCCCATGAGAGGCTGTGTGCAGTTTGGAGAAACAGGGAAGCCAGTGGTGTAAATGCTCAGCAGCATAACATTCAGTACGAAGCCTGAGAGAATTGTGGGGAGATGAGTATGTATGTGGAGGGTGGGCTGGTGCAAGCCTCACAGTCCAAAGACTGGAGAATTTTGCGTTCAGAAGATGAAGAGGAAGAAAATGGTATTCCAGCTCTGGGAAGGGGGGGGGGGGAGAGGGGATTTGCCTTTGCTGTGCCTTTGCATCCAATTTGGGCCTTCATTCAGTTGGATGGCCCCTTCCCTCAGTGGATGTGGATATTTTTTCCTCAGTGCACTGATTTAAATGCCAAAATCTTCCAGAACAGCCGTCACAAAACCACAAATATAGCCACAAATGCTGTTTCACCAGCTACTAAAGCATCCTTTAATCCAGCCAAGTTGAAACTTAAAATTTACTCTTACACCTATACAGAAATTAACAGCCAGTGATTGTAACCTTTCAGTAATGAAGAAGCGAATATTAGGCAGGCATCTCTGGTTTCCAGAATAGGGATGCTCCATGCTCTCAGACAATTCCAAATTCCCAATCTCATGGCACTATTTTGGTGCTTTTCCTCCTTAGGAAAGAGAAGAGTTCTAAAGAGACTGTAGCCGATTTGTTTCCACTGGTGATCATAGAAGTTTCCAGCCCACACTAGAATCCTGAGTGTGAGATACTGTTCTGCTTGAATCTGTCTCTCTTCAGGTTTCCATGGAACTTCCATACTGCTTCTCTAGACACAAGTTTTTATTTATTTTGCTTTTGCTTTTACTTTTTTCATCCTGCCTCAGAGTTCCCCAGTTTTACGGCCCTCTGGGTCTGTCTACTTTCTCAATTCATCAGCAAGATTGGGGTGGAGAAGGTACTTCACCCCCAGTGAACTGTGTGCAGAAGGAAGAGGAATTTCATACAAATCATAAATTTTCTGGTGCAGAGCACATCTGCTAGGCTGTTGATCCAAACAGTCCCCAAATGCGTGTGAGTGGTGATGAAACAACCATTCACTCTTAATCTAATATCCCCTCAGACAACAGAGCAGGCTTTGCTGAGTCTCATTTACTTGCCGTTCTTTATGCATGCAGGGTTGGGTAATAAAATATGATTGCTAGTTCTCTTCTCTCTCAATTCTCTCATTTACCCAATGCTACTCTTATATCACCATGTTTGATTGTGGAACTTGATACCACTGTACAGCTCATATCAGATTGTTGTATTTCAATTTACAATTTAATATCTGGAAGCTTTCCTTTAAGGACAATATTCATACTGTCTTTGTTGCTGTGAAATTAAAGGAGCAGAAAAATATATTACAAGGAATAGATAGGAATTAATTTGCCATCAATATGACACTGATAAACCTCCTGTGGAGAAGCTGTGCGTACTTTAGTTATTCACTTATTTTTCATTCAAAAAAATGTTCTTTAACTTGCTTCTATATTTCAAGCACTCTGATATAGTCATGAATGTTTCACTGTCGTCAAAACTGGGGTGTCCTGCATGCTTATCTACTTGCTATTTAGTGGGATATTATTTTCTTTCTCTTTTTAACTAAATATTTTTTCCAGTGATAGTAAAAATTTTTTAAAAAACAGTAGCAGACTTTTCTTAACTTTTGGATATTAAAGAAGTGTAAATTAAATTTCTCTTAAAATAATGTAAATCTCTATTTTTGATATATTAAATAATAAAAGATAAGTCATGATATACAAATCTCATATTTGGACTCCATGTGAACCAGTACATATGTTATATATAAAATAAACTTGTATGAGCTATTAATATTTTAGTGTGTTCTGTTTCTAGTAAATGTGCCAAGTAAGCCTTGCAGTTTTGAATCCACTTTGTTTTATCTTGGAAATTTTTTAGAGTATAGCTTTGGTTTATCTTCTACAGCTATATTGCATATGAAGGGTCTCCCCTATCTAGATGTTGTCTGTGTGTGTGTCTGTGCGTGTGTGTGTGTTTGTACTTATTCATTAGAGTTTACTTTTTCACCAAATAAAAACAATATGGTTACTGTAGAATATATACTCATTATTGTTTGTAAGCAGTGTCATGTGCAGTGCAATTTGGAAAGTATTTTTATTGATAATGTTCTCTTTTGGTTAAAAAATTGATTGCTTAAGAACACTGAAGCCTAGGATTTCCAACAAAACTTGACCTTTAATGTACATGTTTATAGTATTTGTAATAAGTTTTAATATTCATTACAGGCTTTCCTTTATCGACCTTTCCCCTTCCACCTACCCTGCTAAGCAGCAGATATTAATACCCTGTCTATCACTCGACAGACTCCAAATCTGGGAGTTGGACTGTTTCCTGCTTCCTCAGTAGCTGGCTAGGAATCAGGTACAAGACTATGCCAACTGAGTTAGTAGAACATTCATCAGGAAGACTGGCCACATAATCATGCTTGTCAAACCACCTTGGAATTTATCAGAAAAATTAAAACCAAAAATTTATTTTGGTTTTTTATGTTTTAAGATGGACTTGGAAGATATTACCTTATACCCTAACAATGGAGCATTTGCAATTATAGAATGGCAGTTATATTTTAAGACTGAATCTTTTCTTTAAGATTATGTTACAGATAATATTTTTCCTGCTTATAGTTGATGAACATAAGGCTCAAGAAGGTTTTAAAAATATTCTGAGGCTATCAAGTTAGCAATTAACAGATTTCTGGTAAAACCTCCAAATGTCTAAATCAGCTGGGCTTCCTGTAGCATATCAAGCTGCCTCCTTTTACTTTTAATGCTGTATTTACCAAAGTCCTTACATCAGCCAAATGTAGCAAAGTTGATAGCTTTTAATAAAAATAGGACATCACATGTTCCAAGGCAGAGTGAGCTCAGTTGTAGAGATACTGAAACTATTCCATAATCTCTCTCATGTCCTCTCACAAACCATGGATTAAAAGGCAACTTTCATTTGATTCCTTTTCACTTGTTACTAAAATTCCATATAAATAAGATTTGTTGTCCACAGTTTCATGAAAGCTCTCAATTTTTCTAAAATATCTGAATATCATTGCAAATGTAATCAAATGATTATTCTGATTTCAGAAATTGCAGAGTAACTGTTAGCAAACTCTTTTAAGCAGACAATAAAATGGCATTTTACCTCTGTCATCATCTTATCAGAAACCCATAACTTCAGTCTAATTATGAGGAGAAAAAAGACAAATTCCACTTTTGTGGCATGAAACCATGGTAAAACACAAATTTGTGGGTATTAGTTGAGAACCAATGAACTAAAGGAGATTTTAATACCCACGTGTTCTGATTTTAGCCAGTGCTATGGATGATAAGTATGTTGTCTCAAATTTGTCTGATAGATTATGATATAGCTACAATTTGGATTTTTCAAAAGGTGTTGTTGTTGTTGTTTTGTTTTTTTGGTACTGGGGATCCAACTAGGGTCCTTGCGCTTGCGCAGCAGACAGTGAAACCACTGAGCTAAATCCCCGGCCCAATAACATAGATTAACCCACATTTCCTTTTTTTTTTTTTTTTTTTGGTACGGGGGATTGAACTTTCGACGTTGCACTTGCGAGGCAGGCACTGGAACCACTGAGCTAAATCCCCAGCCTTAACCCACATTTCTCAATTTGGATTTTTCCAGTGAAACGAATTTCTCCATACCACAGTGAGGTCTTCACACTTTGTTTTTTGGAAGCTCTAATCTTAGAGGGATTATTTTAAATGGAGCTAATTTGTCTTTTTTAAAATTTTTATTGATTGATTATAGTGCTATTACCAGCAGTTATGCAGCCATTTAGCATAAGTTCATCCATTTTGCTAAATAACTAACTTTCCAACACTAAACACTATTTTCTTCCATAATGCTTTTATGTATGTAATATCTTACATACTTCTTACCACATCCAGTTATGAAAGATATCATTCACTTTTTTTTCCTTCCATATGTATGTTCCTAGGTCTTTTAGGTATTTTTATATTTTTCCAACAGTTTAAGCTGTCATTACTCTCTAAAAGAGTATTCCTCTGCTGGTAGACCTACTACAACTTAAGAGGATGACAACAAAGCAACCTCTTTTGCCTGTTTTCTTTAAACAAATGTGTATTTC